AATCATATCACAATTAAATAAAGTAAACCAATAAAATGCGACTTAATCGGAAGTTAGGTATAGATCTATATTACATTTATAAAACGGGTTATTTAGGTTGCTTTTTGTAAATTATTGTTTTATCGTTATTTACCTACATACATTTGAAACATGTTTACGTACAGTGTGCATAATAGCATATGGGTATTTGCAGTTAGAACCATGTAATATTGACTTTTTTCAAAATTTTATACCATATGTTCAATTGGCATATTTTAATAGGTTTGAATGAGTAGGCTAAGTCGCTCTTTAACGGTGAGGGTAGATAAAGTGATCATGATCACTTTAATCGCAAGGATAGATAAAGTGAAATAGATGATTATGCATTCTAATGACATCTGTCATTCTTATTTCAAATGGGACGCAGAGCACGATATAAGATGACGTTCAGAACATATGACAATGCTGTTTCTATGGAAATGTGGACGGCAGAACCTAAGCTTGCTATTTTTGACGTCTAAATAAATTCAGAATTGTCAGAAGCTTTACAATGATTTATATGGCTTCCGCTATAAAATAAAGTTTTGTACATTATGCACGACGATAAAGGGAAAATTACCCTTAAGGAATCCAAATTTTATGGAGAACAAAACTTTCCCTTATATGAGTTTTAAGGGTGTACCTACCTACACCATCATGCGGCAGGAATTTTAGTTTATTTACAGCATTGACATCATGGATACCTAATTTTTTTCGTCTTCTTCGCGTCTTGGTCGAGCCGACTTTTTGGCGCTTCTCTACAGCCTTCTAGATTTTTGGAAAACAATCCAAAATTGAGTTTAAGAAATGAACTTTCAGACTCATTCTAAGGTAAGTGCTCGTAAGAACTGAGAAACCTAGGTACCATTCCTTGACTATATATTTATTTTAATTAAAGCTGTTTTATGGAAACTAAAAATTGTTAAATAAATTACCTAATGCCCTCTAGTCTTCCTTCAAAATAGTAGTTTAAGGGTACCAACTTGTATTTGTAAACATGAAATTAAAGGTCCTCTCTTAAGCCGCATGAATATAAGGAAATTGTAAAAGTAACTTTTTCGTCGTAACCATTGTCGCAGCAAGACCTTTGTCTTTGTATGGGCCTGTGTACCACTGGGATTTAGGAGCCCCTCTTTACTCCTTGTTTATTTCAAAATTTTAATGTTCTGTTGACTAAATTTAAGTTCTAAATGTTATCTTATTTTTTTTTATTTGTGTCTGCTAGTGCCTTATTCGAAAAATGTTATTAATTTAATTTTAATTAAGTTAAATTTTTTTGTTAAAATCATAAAATGCAATCTGTATTTTCAGAATCCATAAATTGAATGTTTTGTCTTACTCGCTTAACCATATGTCCAGACCCACTTCTGCGGTTTCAAACTGGAGGTGTGTCTCTCTTTTGACATCAGTGGTTGACAGGCTGATGGGGTTAGAAATTTAATTTGTCTTTTATGTTATTTAATTTAAAGGTCTCAACGAAAGGATACTTTTCTACGAACTACCGCCCTTTTTCCTTACACCTTATCAAAATGGGGAGTGGGGACGCGGACTGGTTTTATTCTTCATGGTACTCTAATGAAAGGTCTTAATAGAAGGAATTAATTTCTACCAGCCACAGTCCTTCTTCTCAAACCGCGTGATCGGTTGTAATTCTTCATATCTCATGAGCGGGGTGTGACGAGTGACGATTGATTCTTCTTGCATTATGCTATGCGATCAAACATCAGTTGCTGTCGAGTTACCTTTGGAATTTTTGTTTGCATGGGAAATCGGACATGCATAACTTAAGCTTCCAAAGGCGCTCGACAGCAACTAATTTCTGATCGTTCCTTTATTATACAGGGCGTTTCAAAAAGAATCATCCGATTTTGTAGGTTTATAATTTGTTTAGACGCCATTTTGACAATAACTGAGCTGGGCGTTGACAGAAGCGCGCTACTGCCACCTAGCGGAAACCACGCGAAACTCGAGAGCTTCCTCTTACTAACAGTAGGTACATTGTTCTATCAAATCGGACTTATAGATGAATAGCAATAAATTTTTAAAATCGGATAATTCTTTTTGAAACGCCCTGTATATTGCGTAGAGTTTGAATGTGTACAAGAAATCCTTTAAATGTTTATGTGTAATGAGCCCCTCTTCCCATTAATCATATATCAAGAAAGTACCTAAATATTGATGATTATAGTATGCTACTACTTTATAACCCAATTATTTACTAAGCTATTTCGGTTTAAAAAATGCACTTTATCTGCACTAGAGTTGTGCACAATTTATACTTGTTTAATAAATCAGTAGAGAGTTACCTACAAAAATCAGTAATAGGATACGATACGCCATTTAGAAAAGCCTGGAAGCCCACCTCTCTCAACCTCTCTCATTACAGACTCTTTTATTGCAGACATCTTCGGAACCGAATTCATAACTAACGGAGATGTCAAAAGGGCCTTCCTTATTTTTTGGGCTACATTGCCATTTCACGAACTTCGATCTACAAATTTGATAAAGAATCCATCTACAATACTTCATCGCAATCAGTCCATCCGTTACTCTTTTAAATTGATGGACAAGAAGCCATCGAGTGAGCAGTCGGCCGATTGGGAGAAAGCATAACGGTCTCGTCTCTCCACGTTAAAAAATGTTGAAAATCGCTCCTCTAAGGTGACCGGCCGACTTCTTTAATAATTTCTTGTATAGGTATCTAATAGGTTTCGAGTTACTTAAAATAAAACTATAAATAATAATTAGGTATCGGAGCTTACACCCGTTCCCGTTTTTTTATGAAACAACCGGTTACAAATCAGAAATATTGCTCAATTAATAAATTGTGCAAGGTGGGGCATTGAAAACGAAATGTTACTTTTGGTTGATTAAGAGACATTTTCGAAAAACGGCCAGACCTAAAAAATGCCACATTGGCTAAAGTAGATTTAATAAGCGCATTTTTGATTACTAATCGGTAAAATCTGCTTCTGGGGAATAAGGATAATGCGTTTGTAGATTTTCCTAAACAAATTAATAATTTTATTTATTTATTTAGGTAATTGTTTATTAATTAATTAATTAATTTATTTATTTATTTATCGTCCTTTCTTGTTCTGGGCCCTCAACAGGCTTTTACCCAATTACAGAGTGATCCGCATAATGCTTTTTAGAGTTGCCTCTGTAGAAGGTCTTAAGTCGTCCTATACTACTCCGGTATTTACTTTACAAATTAGGAAAACTGCAGGAAAACCTAATTCGGAGTAGCCGGCAGAATGTTCGAAACTGGTCTAAGGTAATTCCCATCTCAGCCACAGATGAAGAATTCACCTCAACCCAGATTCGAACACCCGATCTCGACCTATGTAACCCAACGTAAATTTCTGTGAGATTTTTTTCCACCACTTTTTAAGAGTCTGCCATCTTGGAGGAGGAATGTTTAAAAAATTTGTTCACAATGGGAAAGAATGTGCCCACAATCTTAGCCCAACAAACCAAAGATTTTGGTTTATCGGTTTATTTGGTAAAAAAAGTTTGTTTTGGTCCCCAACTTTGACATACGTAGATACGTAGGTAATTATTACACCCTGTATCATTCATTTCATGAAAATGTTTCGTAACGTACCTACCCACTCGGGAACATACAATGTGTCATGTTTCGAATCCTTCAATAGAGTGTCAGGTATTATACACAAGAGATAAGGACAGCGTAAAATTGGCTTTGAAGAATTTTGAGCTAATTTCAAATATCACTTCAAATTTAATCTCTTTTTTTGTATTCGGGAAACCAAACATTACCTACTTCCTACACCGTAAAAACCCCTTGTTCAAAGTAGTACTTATAAACCAACATTACCACCTATATCTATAATATAATACCTAAACAAAAGTTATCGCTAATCGAATGAAAACAAATGAGAAACCACAACCAAGGTTGTTTGTGGGCACCAAAATACTTCTCTCAAAAATGGGTCTCAATAATATACAAGAGTAGTATAGTAACAAAGATATGAGCTTACGTTGACCTTGAGATCTGCACATGCACCAAGTTCAAGGTCATTCGATTCGGTTTTGTTTGTCGAAGGAAACAGGTCTGTTTATAGGAAGCAGATCAGTTAGACGAACTTGATTCTGCTAAACGGACTTTCGTTCTGCCGAAGAGAGCTGTAGAGCAGATCTGATTTTGATCAATAGACCTGTTTCTGTTTAACTGACCTGTTTCAGATACAGACTCGTTTCTGCTCAACCAATCTGTTATTATTGTCTATAGAAAATTTCTTGAAAATAATTCAAAAAATTACAAGATGGCGAACAAAATTGTTAAGGCTTCATAAATATTATATAACAAACATTAACTTCTGCATATATAATTAAATTGTATGTATGGTGTTTGTTCCAACAATATGATTATTTAATTAAAAAAATAAATAGTACCTATAGGTAAGGTATCTAGGTATATAAAAACAAACATATAAAATATCGAAACTGTCCTTGAAGTCTAATATTTTATTGACGTGCCTACATCATTCTTTTATTGAGATTTAAGTGGTAGCTAAAAACTGAAAAAGAATGGCGAAAGGTCGGCCACTATTACTCGTTTAACCTAAATAAATTTTACTCACATGGCTATAACCGCTATAATTATTGCAAAGCATCATTTACTTCAACTAATTAAAGAGACGTACTCTATTATTAAACCCTGTTAATTAGACACAATGTCATGAATGCAATATATATGAACCAGATTGTGGTCAGTCTGTTAATGTTCCATTAAGGTCGATTTAGAGGGAAAAGCTGACAGGTAACATGCTCAGATCGATATAATGGCAGAGGGATGGTGGCCTGACACATACCTACTTAACATTTTTTGTTCTGACGAAGCATTCCGAACAATGCGCAAACAAAGTAAACTGCTCTGTTAAATAAAACACAACTATTTATGCTGACGTAATATTTATATATTTGTATGCATTTGACAATCCATGTAAATTGTATAAACAATGGAGTCAACGTAGACTAACTAGGAAAAAGAGAACATCTATAGGGTAGACAATCATGTTTTCTACAAACAACCAAAGGAAAAGTCACTGTCAAGATAAACAAAACCGTTTTGAAAAATCTAGCATATAATTTAGTTCGAATATGCAGCAAAATATGACTAAATGCACAGCATCTATAAAGTTCAATACCTTAAATAGTTACACGTATTTTACATAATATCTACAATTGCCATTTAATGTGTAGGTAGGTATACTATACAATTTCATAATAATCTTATAAAACTCTCGTATTTTGACACACAAAAAAGTTTGAATCATGTGCTCGTCTTATAAAATTAACTTTCTAAGAAATACTAATTAACAAATAAATATTTTAGTATTGCATCGTTACCTCGTTTTTATGTTAGAAGTTCACATATGATCACACAATTTTAGTTTCCGGCAGTCTGTATCACGTTAGTCTAGGAGGGGAAAACGGTCGATGCAAAGGTGGTGGATTCGCCGGGCTCGGTGGGGCAATTCGTACAATCCCTCCGATTCCGTGAGTTGTATCACCGATGTGCAGATTAGTTTGTGGGTTTTGCGATATTGGCATTTTACTTGGCAAGCTAACCTGGATCCTTAAAGGCGCTGTTGCTCCCAAACGTAGAGGAAGCGGTGTTTCCGGGTGCATATGTAAACTTAACGAATCTGAAGGGTTTACTCGTAAGTTTATAGGAGGAGAGTGTTGTAATGAAGTTTGTGGCGGAGATGCGTCCAAATCCACGCGAATTGGACTAGTTTTATTTGATCTAAAGTCCGTTGTATCTACATTTATCGGGGATTCGGTCACAGCCAATCTTAGATTATTTGAAATATTTCTATCCAGCCTATAACTAGCGGGATGACTATCTATATTTACGGGTGAATTTGATGAACCTAACTTTCGTAAATTTGAATTTGGCGACGACTGTCCGTCTAATCGAAAAGAGGGTGGCGAATGATTTCCGAATCTAAATTGTGTCGGCATCGGACCGGGGGAGTGCGGCCCGAAACGGAAGGTGCTTATCGGCGTCGGGGACGCGTATCTTAAAGGATTAGGTGAACTTAAAGGTGGCGAATGTGTCCCCAATGATATATCGGAATCACTATCTGACGAATGCGTCGGAGAACTTAATTGCGGTGGTCGAGATCCTCCATGATTTGCCAATTGCGCCGCCAGTTGCTGTTGCTGCATCCTGAAAAAGAAAATAAATTGATGAGCATTTTAATACGCAAATGAATGATTTATAAAGACATTTTTATTTCGACATCCCCAACCTCAATGAATTAATAGAAATTTTAACTCGACTGGTTATAATGTAGTTACTTGCAAATTCATAAAACATCGCAGGGTGTAGCCAGAATGAGAAATAATGCAATTTGGGGATCTTTTGGTTGCTCTTAACTCGATATAACTCGTTGCCTACCGCGTCTTTGGAAAATACAGCTAGCAGGAACTGCTACCAAAACTCATACAGTGAATTAACTTGATTAGGTATTGAAATGAAAGCCGGAGGGTGTGTAATAGGACCTGGGCTAATGCTAATCAAGTTTATTTGGAAAATAGCCTGTTAACATCAACTGGGATCAAAGACCGCGGCTTTGGTTGAGAATATATTATTCCACATCGCGTAGATAGCAACATAATTGCTATTAGGGCGCTATTATATCAAATTCTTCATTATTCCACATCGATTGCCAGGTAGCGGTAATTATTTCTTACTTATTACACGTTAATTTGTATGCAGTATTCGATTTTTCGTCTACAATTGTTCTTACAATTCTTTACTATTAAAATATGCAAATGTGAAGGCTATCAAATCAATTTGCTTGTTCTATTTTCGAAACACGTAATTACTTAACAACTCAATTTCGTCTTACCCCATACGCATTGTGTGAAAACGGATTACTCAAGAAACTAGAGATTAAAACATTAAAAATACACCAGTATTAATACTTATATTCCCAGTAATGTAATGCTAAATGCCTTTTTGTATGTATACACTATGTATAGGTAGGTACGTAAGATTGAGAAAAAAATCCTCTAACTACTACATGTGATTTACTGCTATAGTCGCCACGTTGGGTGCTAATTGAATTATGCTGTATGACCAACGTGATGTTCTTGTCAAGTGAATGAAGAGATGCCAAAAGTCTCAACCGGAACCTACTATCCATTATCCAAACAGGAACCCCCCTAAGCGAACTATGTAGGCAACAGTTTTATTTTTACAAGTAGGTACATATAAATTATTTTTGGTTGAGTATAATCACTGTAATTTTGTTTGTTTTGGGGGATCACTGTCTTTTACAAATTCTAGCGTATGTAGGTCAGAGTGAATTATGATTGGTCTTGAAACGAGGTTGTAATACACATTTCGCTTCATTCATGCTACGTAAAGTTGAGTGGTTTTTATCACTAAAATTGAATGGCGGTTTAATTGAGATATTCTGGCAATTAACCGGTGGTTTGTTGGGTCTCGATAACGTTGAACGTTGAAGTGAGCTCTAAACACTTCTCTCGTATAGTGCAGATTTAAAGATTGAATTAGATCGTGTATTCTTTCGAGGTCCCTTCGCTTTATATGAAGTTCGAACCGATTTAAGTCAATCGTTGCTGTAAATCTTATTTGTTTTTGAACAGCCCCCTTACTAATTAGAGGTATGTTGGTGTTGATGATAGAAGGTTGTTACATGTATGTACATTCTGTAAGGGTAAGATTTGGATTTCAAGTGCCGTAGTTTTAATTTTAAGGTATGGGAACTTTCAATTTAATTTTACATCCACTTTAATTACGCGTTATCAACTCAACACCAGTTTCTTCTCAAGGCACCAGTTTTGCCAGGCAGCGGCCATTTTCTTTCGGAGTGCAAGGTCAACATTTAACCGGGCAATCTCAGCGCTTGGGAGTAGATAAGGAATTAGGTCATCAGGTCAACTAGAATAACCTAATCACACTGGATTGTCTTACAAATTTAAAATCTTCTTCGTTCTTTGTAGATGTATATTCAATTTTTAATTTTGTAGTTTGGGGTTGGGGTTGCGGTTTTCGTTTTTCCTTACTTTTGTTCTATAGCTGTTACACTTCGAAGAGAGGTCTTTTTTGCGACGGCGTTCACTACATTAAGGGTAAGATTTTTATGTTGTTACTTGTACCTCTATCATCGATGCGAATTTTTGCTCGTGATAATTTTTTTGCCTTTTTTGGAAATTATTGTAAATTCTGCAATTGAACGCGGTCGATCATTATTAAATTTTTTGATTGATTAGTTTGGGACACATTCAGGTTTAAGTACAATTGTAATGTAATGGTTTGGTATATGTATGTGGAAATGTTTTTTGTATTGGGAGTAGAAATCTAAGTTAGTTTATTGAAATGAAATTGATCTTCGTTGTGGAAAATTATTATTATTTCCTTAGTCAATTTCATTGTTACTTTCCTTCGCATTTTATACAGGAAGGGAAATTGCATCCACACGAAACTGACCATCAAGAATCTACGCGATAATGTGTGCACAATGGATTATCAACCTGCTGACGTGTGAACAGAAAATATTCAAGAAAAGGAGTTAGTGCAGAATATTATAGCGCTGTGGATAACAATAATGCGTCTGTCACACAATAGTACTGAAAACGAATAAAAGATGCACCACAAATGAAAAATGAGTTGGTTCATCATTATGGATGCACTTAAGACTTTGTCCGTATAAGATGCTTCCTATGCATCCACGAAAAAAACTTTTTCTACTATTTGTGATAGGCTTTACTGGATTTGGATTTTGCACTTACAACTTTTCTTCTGCTTTTGCAACAAGCGATTGAATGAACGGTGTATTATCTTTTTCAACCGAAGTCCTTTTATTCACAAAGACGATGATTTTTATAAGCAAACGTCAAGTGACATTTTCATGGCAATCTTGGAATTACGAATAAGCAGCCCAATTAATTATGTATGTACCTATTTGAATATAACGTCAATATGATTTTATTTTATTTCGCTTATTTTTGAATTATATGGCAGGTATAATAAAAAATACTATTTCAAACACATGTATTTTAGCGAGCGGCACCTCCAAATATTGGTTTTTTATTAACTATTGCTATTAACACGTATGGTATGGGTCAGGGGCCTCCCGATTTTTTAATCCAATGACTTGTCCGCTTCTTAGTAACTAATGTAAAAATTGCGAGCGAGTCCTATTTATGAACAATAGCATCAATTTTTGAGTGACAGTAAATCGCGAATGTGAATATTATGGGTTATTAACTATTAAGGATACCTATTCAACAAATTTTCGTGCACAACACGTGTTAAAAAAGTATTTTTTTCACGAAAATCACTTGCAAAACTAATTGTACAAATAACTATTTTGTGAATTGAACGTCACTTTCATGCTTTTATATATTATAATCACTAATTATTAATATCAGAGGTTAGAATTGCTTACGCAATAAGTCACGCTATTCACTACCCCTCTTGTTTGTTTGTTGGTGTTGCTTTCTCTTACAGATTAGGAAGAACGCGCCCTTCTTAAGCCCAACAAGGCCTTTGCGACCCGTAGTTCAAAAGGTAAATTTTTTTGACGACTCCTTGATATAACGTTTGATTGCATACTGGTAACCAGTAATAGACGTTCTTTCTTAATCTGTAAGAAACTTGAATGCAAAGTTTTAATGTAAATGACCGCGTCTCAATTGAGTCAATCCCAGACATAACGGATGGACAACAATCCAAAACTATAAAGGATCAGAAGATAGGTAATAATATATCCGTATCAATCTAATAAAAAATACTGTAACTGTAACACTTTTCTAATGTTAAGTAACCGACGCGTCTTTACGTAAATCAAATATTTAAAGGAAATCGTTCTGTTTTCAACCCTAATAGCAAAAGGGTTGCCATCATACACATTCTATCGACCTGGCTAAACTCACAGCCTTGTGTGCATATATTTCATAAACTAAGTATATTTTTAGTGCGATGAGCAAAAAATCCATTGGACTAACTGATACAGGTAGCAATTGCAATTGTGTGATATTTTGTGACATGGATTAAAATGTACTCCAATATCTAGTTAGAAATTAAACGTACCGTCCCGCATGTAGGTTTCTGGTCAACATTTTACGATGTACGTAGTTATTCGGGCTGATGATCTAATATTAGAAACAGACACTTTTTTATATAAGTTTGGCGGCTCCCGATAAAATTTCACCTTTGTCCCCAGTGCTACGTAGATATAAGTACCTATAAATAATTCTATAATCGATTATGGGGGACTCCCTCGAAACTTACACACCTAGAAAATGGGAACAAAACAGCACATAATTTTTATTTCAAATGCTCAAGTGATGAGTTAAGCGGAGTAATCCGAGAAGTAGGTACAAACGCAAGACACGTTTTACAACTATACAATGTTAGTCATTTTAGTAATTAAAGCAGAATATACCGAAAATCTAATCCGGAGCGGCAATGATAAAACGTGCAACTGCATTTAATAGAAATAACTATGACAGTTTCAAGAGCTGCAGGGTGCTTAAAAATTGTAGATCGTAGCATTATCTGGAACTGGTATCATTTCAATAGTAACAAAAGCAGCCATGTTGCATAATGGACGTGTCGCGTTTGTTTCCATGGCTTGGGTCGCTACACAAAAGGCATTGCATCGATACATGATAATTAGGGCGGTTCACAAGTCATTCGATACCATCTCTGAATATGAATACTAAATGTACCTACTGGCATTTCACGATACGACTTAATATATTGTTCCTAACGTTTAAATCTACTTTCTGATAAAAATCGATCATTTTAAATTGCAGAGATCGTATAGCGCGGATTTAAACTTCCATCTATACAGAAGGTGCATTAAAGAACTTGATTAAGAAACAGAAGCCGTTGTACATCCATCCTCTATTCTATAACCGTACACGGTAATGAAAATTAAAAGAAAGACACTAAATAATGCATACCAGTTTCGGTTCAATTCCTTCCATCATAACTAAATTGGAACAAAACAAATTAAATTAGTGTTGGATTTTTTCTTTTCTTTTGAATATGACGTGCATTATGGCGTATAATTATAGTATGTGATTATAGGTATTATTTCTCATTTCCTTTACACTCGGTCGTATTTTATGTTCTGTCAAAATAAAATAAAAAGAATGGTAATTTGATAGGCTTCAAAGTGAGTTCGT